CCCCCCCGTGGAAATTTGGACCCCTCAGATAGGTCTCTGGATCCGCCACTGGTCTTGAACTACTAAATGAACAGGTTCAAAATTGGGAGTCTCCCTCCTAAATAGGGAGAGGATGATGTAAGTATGCAGAATGTTTTAATATATAGAAAAAAAAACTAGTTTTGGTACATTAATATGACATATTGATTTTCAGAATATAATTTACACGATTAACTGGTTGGTGACACCTGTTACAAGATTGAATTCATGATAATGTTGCTATCAGGCTCTGTTGAGGATCTGACATCCTGCTATAAACCTGTTCAATATTACTGGGAAATTTGTTATCATATGACACAGACATTTAGAACCAGAAGACGCTCGCAAACTTTTTACTTACATGATTAATGCTTTTCAACACAACACAAAGACTCACCAAATTGACAGTTGTCAGCTGATATAATTTTCATTGAAAGATGTTTACACATTTTGTGCTGGTTTCAGTAAACCAATTATAATTATAATTAATTTTTGAATCAAAGAATAACATTTTTGCCAAAAATAAATGTTGGGCAACTTAGAAAACTCTAGTTGTTGTTTTTATTGAAAGGTTAATTGTTTCACAAATGGAGAGACGGCAGATTACTGGAACGATTAGCAGTCAGATGGAATGACATGAGAACATACTCTTACATTACAGGTGGTACTGAGTTCACAGAATTATGAGTTAGGTACAGAAGAATCTGCTGAATTTCATTGTACAATGTCCCTCCTCCCCNAATTTGTCAGATGGACCACAGCCAAAATAAAATAAAATTTGATAAACCCACCATCTCTGATGCAGGATTAAGTGTGGACATAAATAGAAATAAAGGGAAAAACCCACAACTGATCAGACTTATAGTAACTGTAAGTGTACTTTGATTCTAATACACTACGTTCAACCAAACATGAAGCATTTATCATATAAAACTGAACACCTATGTATGGGCGTGGCCTTCGATGGTCAACTATTTTATTAAAGGAACAAGTACATGAAATACAAAGGGCCCCTGCCCCATCCTTCTTGCCTTCGCCCTTCTCTTCGTCCTGAATCCGGTCCTGGCAGGCGCTAGGAATTCCCTTTATAGAATCATCCCTGGAGTTCGTGCCTGTCCCAAGGAAAACAGAGAAATTTCATAATTCTATGATTTAACAAAAGGAAATATAATTTCTTGAAGTGAATCGATGAACCGTCAAGACTCGAATGACCATGTTACCCTCAAACTACATTTGTTACTCTATAGACACCCATGTCACACCTGTAACACGTGCGGTTACGCGTTACCCGCCTCGCCTCACGCGGCTACCTGTGTCACCTTGGCCTCATATCCGGACACTAGTACACCTGTAATACCTGCACTACATACATTACGGTATACCGTGACTATAATAAATACATTTATTGTAGCACAGTCAAAACTAAGTACAGACCCACCAATCATTGGTTAGTACATGTGGATCAATGCAACAGAGAAAAAAAGGAACTAAGGCAGTTTCAGAGTATTTGGAAATACCAGGTCACAGTGCAAAATCTGGCTTGGGGTTATTTTCTTGTTTGCTGTTATAAAGTGGCCATGCTGGCATAACTTGACTAGATCTGTTCCCATCAGGTAAAAATATACCATATTTATCCTATTTAAGCCCAAGGGGCCAACACATAATCACTGACTGAAAATACGGAGGGTGGGCTTATTACAGGACAACACTTAATCTCTGACTGAAAGTAATGGGATGGGCTTATTACAGGACAGCACATAATCTCTGACTGAAAGTAGGGGGTGGGCTTATTACAGGACAACACTTAATCTCTGACTGAAAGTAGGGGGTGGGCTTATAACAAGACAACACATAATCTCTGACTGAAAGTAGGGGGTAGGCTTATTACAGGACAACACTTAATCTCTGACTGAAAGTAGCGGATGGGCTTATTACAGGACAACACATAATCTCTGACTGAAAGTAGCGGGTGGGCTTATTACAGGATAACACAATCTCTGACTGAAAGAAGGGGGTGGGCTTATTACAGGACAACACATAATCTCTGACTGAAAGTAGGGGGTGGGCTTATTACAGGAAAACACATAATCTCTGACTGAAAGTAGCGGGTGGGCTTATTACAGGACAACACAATCTCTGACTGAAAGAAGGGGGTGGGCTTATTACAGGACAACACATAATCTCTGACTGAAAGTAGGGGGTGGGCTTATTACAGGACAACACATAATCTCTGACTGAAAGTAGGCGGTGGGCTTATTACAGGATAACACATAATCTCTGACTGAAAGTGGCGGGTAGGCTTATTACAGGACAACACTTAATCTCTGACTCAAAGTAGCGGGTGGGCTTATTACAGGACAACACATAATCTCTGACTGAAAGTAGTGGGATGGGCTTATTACAGGACAACACATAATCTCTGACTTAAAGTAGGGGGTGGGCTTATTACAGGACAGCACATAATCTCTGACTTAAAGTAGGGGGTTGGCTTATTACAGGACAGCACATAATATCTGACTTAAAGTAGGGGGTGGGCTTATTACACGACAGCACATAATCTCTGACTTAAAGTAGGGGGTTGGCTTATTACAGGACAGCACATAATCTCTGACTGAAAGTAGGGGGTGGGCTTATTACAGGACAATGAAACCGCTTTGTTGGTATTTCTTCCTTATAACTGCGATATGTATTGGTGGGCATATTACCAAGTATGGGCTTATTGCCGGAAAACATATGGAATATACAATATTTTTTGAAAATAAACCTGTTTTCCGATTCCATTAAGTAATAAAGTTAATAATAAATTTTATCTTCGAGTCTTGGTAAGCATTTCTTTCTTACAAAAATTCCTGTAACTGTCATATAATATAATCAAATACCAGTTTTATGGGGTCTCTTGTACTGTACATACATTTTCTTCCATTTTGATTAAGGGAAATAATCCAAGATGGCGATCTCCCAGAATCGTCGATCTTTTCCTGAAATTTTTTTCTATACCTGTGTATTTTACGCACCCTCCACTTTGGGTATTAAATTTCTGAAAAAAAAGTGCGCAAATTACATGGGTTTTTACGGTACACCATAATGAGTAACATCAAGTTAAAATGTATTACACATTGTATCATTGTTATTATCATAAATATTTGGTTAAAGTCCTTCTCTTCAAAAGTATTCCATATAAATCAAATATTGCAGAATTACAGGATTATAGTTCAATTATTGTTTGAAGTTTGAATACATTTTGTATTTACAAAAAAATCCAACTTAGAAGCTGGATGTGTTTCCAATGCTACACTTTACCATTGTTGCTATTCAGGAATTATAATGCACAAGATTCATTGAGGGAGATCTCCCTCATTCCACATTTCCAATAAGGGAGAGAGTGCTTGAAATGCTACTGAAACAGTTTTGCTCAATTTATCTTTCCCTTTTTAAGTATCAAAATAACTCCAAAAAGCATTCAGATTGATTCTGACACACCTGTTATGATCATTACACACACCCTGCAGTAACTAGGAGGTCATTTGACCACAGAATGTAGATTTCGAGTTTGTGTGAGTTTGGACTTAAATGAGGGAGTTTCGAGAAAGATTGGTAAATTTTGAGGGAGCTTTGAAAGCTATGAACATTTAAATGAGAGATAAATACCTTGACAGGGGAAGTAATCCAAAACAAGTAGTTATTTTGTTGCTTAATAATTTGAGGTTCTTATATACCACTTTATCACAACTTTAATAGTTCGTAGGTCGTCTCAAAGTGGTTCACAAATTATTATCCGTGATTATAGGGCCTTTGCAACCAGCCAATATTTTTCTCAACTCCCTGAGGAGCATACAGCCGGTGCTGCCATTTCAGCGCTCACAGCTAGAATTCAACAATTCGAGCACTGCCCAACCACGTACTCATTTACAGCTGAGTAGACTGGAACAGGCGGAGTAAAGTACAAAATGTATCTTGGTCAAAGATACAACACAGTGCTGTGCCGTGACTTGAATCTGCAACCCTTTAGTCATGAGCCCGGCGACCTACCACTAGACTACCGTGCCTCCTATAGCCCCGCATCCTACCACTAGACTACCGTGCCTCCTATAGCACCGCGTCCTACCCCTAGCCTCCCGTGCCTCCTTTAGCCCAGCGCCCTCCCACTAGCCTATCGTGCCTCCTATAGCCCAGCATCCTACCACTAGACTACAGTGCCTCCTATAGCCCCACGTCCTACCACTAGACTACCGAGCCTCCTTTAGCCCAGCGGCCTACCACTAGACTACCGTACCTCCTATAGCCCCACATCCTACCCCTAGACTACCGTGCCTCCTATAGCTCAGCGTCCTACCACTAGATTACCGTGCCTCCTTTAGCCCGGCGTCCTACCACTAGACTATCGTACCTCCTATAGCCCCACATCCTGCCACTAGACTACCGTGCCTCCCATAGCCCCACATCCTACCACTAGCCTACCGTGCCTCCTATAGCCCAGCGTCCTACCACTAGACTACCGAGCCTCCTATAGCCCCACATCCTGCCACTAGACTACCGTGCCTCCTATAGCACCACATCCTACCACTAGACTACCATGCCTCCTATACCCCCACATCCTACCACTAGCCTACCGTGCCTCCTTTAGCGCAGCGTCCTACCACTAGACTATCGTGCCTCCTATAGCCCAGCGTCCTACCACTAGACTACCGTGCCTCCTATAGCACCGCGTCCTACCACTAGACTACCGTGCCTCCCTTAGCTTGCATGATCTTCTATATATAAGGGAGATTATACACCAAGTAGAAAAAGAAAGAGTTCTGAAGTGTTAAGTCTAATCTTTTCAGCTTTATCTGGTGCAGTGATACCTTTACCTTAAACATTTAATCAAGGTTTACAAATATATATATATATATATACATACATAGGTTTTGACACAGATTTAGACTTTTTTTTTAAATCACAAAAGATATGCTTGCAATAAAAAAATTCTCAAACAGAAATATGTTGTATCTGTTACAGATAAATGGATGGAGTATGGTACAGAGTGAGATATGAATCAGATTTTATCAGCAGCTTGACTTTCTGTATACAGTCCCTGGTCAGATGAGGGTCATTGTGTGACTTTGACCGAAGTGATAACATGGCCCTGCCCAGAGCTGTCCGTGAATGGCTGTCGGAGTATAAGGTAAACAGACGTTTTTGTATCTGCTTAAAAAAATGAAAAAAAAATCTGAACATTTTGTAAAATTACTGATTTTCATGGCAGTGACCAGGCTGCAATGTGACCTCATCAGCTTGTAGAGCATAGGGTGATGATAGTGTCGCCATATTCAGACAACACAGTAACTGTTATAGACATAAAATACAATGTAAATATTTGAATTGTTCACATGTGTAATGTTATAATGGGACAGAAATGATGTGACGTCATGAAATAAGAAAACTTCGGATCCATGATGTGGAGCCTGCTGACGAGATTTAATCAAAATAATTTGTTTGAAAGATGTGATTTTTATTTTTCAGCACATGTAAACTAATGTTTGATAAAATACGGTACATTTTTTTTTTTTTTTTACTGCTGCAAAAAGAGCTCAGGGAATATGTCAATATTTTCAAAACGGTAGCCAATCAAAACACTTTATCATGGTTTCTGAGCTAGCCTCAGGATTTCCAAGTGGAAGCAAAAAACTTTGCAAGCAACAGGTTTAACCAAAAACACCCAAATGGAATTTTCCAAGTGCACTGTTGGACATAACAGAGTCTTGTGCATTCACTAATTACATGTATGCAGACTTTTTTTTATACCTCCAGTGGAAAACAAGCCTTTTTTTTTTGCCTTAACGCAATGCCATGCTTTGTAGAAATGTTAATACAGTTCATGTTCTACGTGCTCAAAAGTCACAAATACTGAAAGAGGATTACAGAGATGAGCAGTATTTGTCTAAAATCAATGCTGTAAGCCGATCAGGATACATCAGGTTGTAGTAGGACTGTGAGACGGGGACATCATTGTTATGTAAAAAAATTAAATTTAGGTCTGATTGTAGTACACTGTACATGTATTGTGTATTCCACCACGTTTGTGATGTAACAACACTTTTCATTGGTTAATAATTGGACGTTGGGCCATGTCTATGTCTGTATTATTTTCCAACAAACCAACGCTCTTCCATAAACCTCCCCCTAGTTTTCCAACAAACCAACGCTCTTCCAAAAACCTCCCCCTAGTTTCCCTTGTCAAATGATAGTAAATGTACATGCATTTAATTTGTATGTATTCTAAGATTTGCTTACCAGCAAAAAACGTTTCTATTCAACCTCTAGGTCTACTTAAAATCTGTCAAGCTTACAGCATAGGTGACTTGTCCAAATTGGCTCTGACACATCCTGGAGGCAAAGGGTAAAACCCCACTTGAGGCTGAGGGGTGGGGGTCCATCACTGGAGGCTGAGGGGTAGGGGTCCATCACTGGAGGCTGAGGGGGAGGGGTCTTATCAATAGAGGCTGTGGGGGGGGGGTTCATCACTGGAGGCTGAGGGGTGGCGTCCATCACTGGAGGCTGAGAGGTGGGGGGCTGATCACAGGAGGCTGAAGGGGAGGGGTCCATCACTGGAGGCTGAGGGTAGGGGGTCCCTCACCGGAGGCTGAGTGGTGGGGGTCCCTCACTGGAGGCTGAGGGGTGGGGTCCATCACTGGAGGCTGAGGGGTGGGGTCCATCACTTGAGGCTGAGGGGTGGGGGTTCATCACTGGAGGCTGAGGGGTGGCGTCCATCACTGGAGGCTGAGAGGTGGGGGGCTGATCACAGGAGGCTGAAGGGGAGGGGTCCATCACTGGAGGCTGAGGGTAGGGGGTCCCTCACCGGAGGCTGAGTGGTGGGGGTCCCTGACTGGAGGCTGAGGGGTGGGGTCCATCACTGGAGGCTGAGGGGTGGGGGCCTATCACTGAAGGCTGAGGGGGAGGGGTCCATCACTGGAGGCGGAGGGTAGGGGGCCCCTCACCGGAGGCTGAGTGGTGGGGGTCCCTGACGGGAGGCTGAGGGGTGGGGTCCATCACTAGAGGCTGAGGGGTGGGGTCCATCACTAGAGGCTGAGGGGTGGGGTCCATCACTGGAGGCTGAGGGATGGAGTCCCTCACTGGAGGCTGAGGGGGGGGGCCATCACTGGGGGCTGAGGGGGGGGGGTCATCACTAGAGGCTGGGGGGGGGGGTCCATCCCTAGAGGCTGAGGGGTGGGGTCCATCACTAGAGGCTGAGGGGTGGGGTCCATCACTGGGGGCTGAGGGGGGGGGGTCATCACTAGAGGCTGGGGGGGGGGGTCCATCCCTAGAGGCTGAGGGGTGGGGTCCATCACTGGGGGCTGAGGGGGGGGGGTCATCACTAGAGGCTGGGGGGGGGGGTCCATCACTGGAAGCTGAGGGGGGGGGTCCATCACTAGAGGCTGAGGGGTGGGGTCCATCACTTGAGCCTGAGGGGTGGGGGTCCATCACTGGAGGCTGGGGGGTGGGGTCCATCACTAGAGGCTGAGGGGTGGGGTCCATCACTGGAGGCTGAGGGGTGGGGTTCATCACTAGAGGCTGAGGGGTGGGGTCCATCACTGGAGGCTGAGGGGTGGGGTCCATCACTGGAGGCTGAGGGGTGGGGGTCCATCACTGGAAGCTGAGGGGTGGCGTCCATCACTGGAGGCTGAGGGGTGGGGGTCTATCACTGAAGGCTGAGGGGTAGGGGTCCATCACTGGAGGCTGAGGGGATGGATCCATCACTGGAGGCTGAGGGGTCGTGTCCATCACTGGAGGCTGAGGGGTGGGGTCCATCACTGGAGGCTGAGGGGTGGCTTCCATCACTGGAGGCTGAGGGGTGGGGGTCCATCACTGGAGGCTGAGGGGTGGGGTCCATCGCTGGAAACTGAGGGGTGGGGTCCATCGCTGGAGGCTGAGGGGTGGGGGTCAAGTAAAGGAAAGTTAAACCTTCAAAACCCTTCTTCTTCTGTAGGAATAAATGGGTTTTGTTCAAAGATCATCCATGAGCCACATACATATTCATAAACATGGGGACTGAGTTTTACATAAATGGAAGGTGTTGTCTCCATGGGGCCCCAATAGAGGAAATAGAGGTAAAATGTTTAATTCCATCTTCTTTTGTAGGAAAAAAAAGATTTTTTCCAAATTTGTGTTAAAGCATCCTTTGACCAAGGGAACTCAATGTTTTATAAACTAAGGGGTGTGTCTCCTGCTTGTTTTACAAAATAAATAAAGTTTACAAATATTGAGCAAAATGGGCAAATTTAATCAGAACTTGGAAATAGTTGAGATCCCTATTCCTTTATTCATATATCATTACTCAACCTCATTCGACAAATACAATCATCATCCTACCAGAACTTGCCCTAGGGTCCATTCCTAACCAAGGGATAGGATCCAATAGGAAATCAGGCCATACATTTGAAAGGCTTGAGATCCCCACCCTATTACCATAAATATACAGTTGGTAGTTATGGAGAGACAAATACATATTTGCTTCTGGAGTTTGTCCTGGGTTCCATCCACACCCCAGACCCCTATGTCAAAATTTATCCATGCTACGACATGTTGCTCATGTGTCCCTCCTCACCCCAGGGGTGAAGCCAAACATTTGGCTATAATTTGAAAGCCATGGCCTTCAAACACACTCATTGTGAGACAAACACATCCATGCTACCTGGATTGATCCTATCATTGGTCTGTCCCCATCCCAGGGGACTTGTTCCTTTGTCATAACATGGAAACTGTATAACAATTGCTTGTCCTATAAAGATGAATACAGATATGCCACTAAGGTTGGCCCCTGTGCCCAGCCCTGCCCCTGGATAGTTCCTGGATCACAACATGGAAACAGTAAAGATCTTCACTCTATAACCATATGTATAGTTGCTGGGTTTGAAGAAAAGTATACATGCATTCATGCTACCATAATTGCCCAAGGGGTCCTGCTGGCCTCTGGGGACTCATTTCTTTGGTCTTTACATATACCCACACATATATAACCTGCTTACTGGGCATGAAGAGATGAAGATCTGCTTCCTGTGAAGCATCTTCTCCTTTTGACCAAGGAATCAATTGTAAAGGACGAATGTAGTAACCCATGGCAGGCCGGGCACATGTACAGTGGGTGTTAAGGCATTAGACATACAAGGCATCCTTAGTACTGCACCCTGGATGCTGAGAGCCAGAGCCAAAATTAGGGAATATTTGTAGTATTATATATAATTAGAAAATTGTGCTATGGTTACATAAATAACCCGGTGAGGGATACTGGGTTTCTTGTGCAAATATGGTTTCATATATTGTTTGTTCTAATTATTTCAGGCCTTATCTACAGATGAACTGCCAAGCTATGTGTCGACTGTAAGGCAGAATGAGGAACTGGTCACCAACCTGTATTGTCTGTTTGATAGTCTACCCTCACTCGAGGTAAGTTACAAATCTGTATTGTCTGTTTTATAGTCTACCCTCACCCGAGGTAAGTGACAATCTTTATTGTGTGTTTGATAGTCTACTGTCGGTTTGATAGTCTACCCGCACTCGAGGTAAGTGACGTTCTGTATTGTCTGTTTGAAAGTCTATCCTCACTCGAGGTAAGTTACAAATCTGTATTGTCTGTTTCATAGTCTACCCTCACACATGGTAAGTGACAATCTTTATTGTCTGTTTGATCATCTACCCTCACTCGAGCTAAGTGACGATCTGTATTGTCTGTTTGATAGTCTACCCTCACTCATGGTAAGTGACAATCTGTATTGTCTGTTTGATAATCTACCCTCACTCGAGGTAAGTGACAATCTGTATTGTCTGTTTGATAGTCTACCCTCACTCGAGGTAAGTGACGATCTGTATTGTCTGTTTGATAGTCTACCCTCACTCGAGGTAAGTGACAATCTGTATTGTCTGTTTGATAGTCTACCCTCACTCGAGGTAAGTGACAATCTGTATTGTCTGTTTGATAGTCTACCCTCACTCGAGGTAAGTGACAATCTGTATTGTCTGTTTGATAGTCTACCCTCACTCGAGGTAAGTGACAATCTGTATTGTCTGTTTGATAGTCTACCCTCACTCGAGGTAAGTGACAATCTGTATTGTCTGTTTGATAGTCTACCCTCACTCGAGGTAAGTGACAATCTGTATTGTCTGTTTGATAGTCTACCCTCACTCGAGGTAAGTGACAATCTGTATTGTCTGTTTGATAGTCTACCCTCACTCGAGGTAAGTGACAATCTGTATTGTCTGTTTGATAGTCTACCCTCACTCGAGGTAAGTGACAATCTGTATTGTCTGTTTGATAGTCTACCCTCACTCGAGGTAAGTGACAATCTGTATTGTCTGTTTGATAGTCTACCCTCACTCGAGGTAAGTGACGATCTGTATTGTCTGTTTGATAGTCTACCCTCACTCGAGGTAAGTGACAATCTGTATTGTCTGTTTGATAGTCTACCCTCACTCGAGGTAAGTGACGATCTGTATTTTCTGTTTGATAGTCTACCCTCACTCGAGAGCGCTATATCAAATGTTGTATATTATTATTATTATAGCTAGATAGGGCGCTACATCAAATGTTGTATATTATTATTATTCTAGCTCGATAGGGCACTACATCAAATGTTGTATATTATTATTATTCTAGCAAGATAGGGCGCTATAACAAATGTTGTATATTATTATTCTAGCTAGATAGGGCGCTATATCAAATGTTGTATATTATTATTATTTATTAACGACTTCTTCTGAATAACTGAGAGGTCTAGGGTGATGATATTTGACCAGTAACATGCTTGGATGAAGGGCTACCAAGTTTGTTCAAATAAATGACCTTGATTTATATTCAAGGTCACTGGGGTCAAATATGTTTAAAACCTTTAAACGACTTCTTCTGAATAACCAAGAGGCCTAGGGTGATGATATTTGGCCAGTAACATGCTTGGATGAAGGGCTACCAAGTTTGTTCAAATAAATGACCTTGATTTATATTCTAGGTCACAGGGGTCAGATATGTTTAAAACCTTTAAACGACTTCTTCTGAATAACCGAGAGGCTGGGATGAAGGGCTACTAAGTTTGTTCAAATGAATGACCTTTGCCCATTTTTTCTGAATTAGTTTAAAGTTTAAGTCAAGACGCTGATATTTTGCCTGTAGCTTTATTTTAGTCCTCTTTTAAGGTTACAATTGTTAGATTAATACCAGGTGAGTGATGCAGGCCCATTGGGCCTCTTGTTTAATACCCCATGTTTCATTTGCCACCTGTATTGATGCCAACATTTCTCACTGCCCCCTTTCCCTTAAGACTTTCTTTCTATGTTGCCCTCAGTTTATCGCCAATCCCTTTATAACGCCAAAGTTTCATTGGCAATCAAATGGCTTTACTGTGTTATGGAAATAACACTTTTGTCAAAAAATAAAGTGACATCGTTACAGCAACTTCATTTCTTTAAAGATTTTGATCAAACTTTTTACAAATGTCAAGTATGAGAATACCTCACTCAAATTTTGCTTATATTTCAGGTCAAGGTAACTGATCACTGTTTATCTAATAATCAACAACAAATTTGCATGAAAGCAAGGGCATTCACGTCTTACATTTTTGTACATATTTCGTAAATAGTGATATCATATGACTGATTCAGGAGCTCTAGGCCCTTTGTTTTATGACAGAAGGAGGATGTGTGAATATTGACATGTTTAAGATTTACTATACAAAGCATTACATATGTTCTGAAATGTACTGAAATGTACTGATCATTTCGTTGAAAACTTTGTTTTCAGTCGCTGGAGCCGGTGTACCATCAGCTGTTTGAGTTTTCCCGGTCCCGGGAGTCGGGACTGAAGAGATTCACCCTGGAGTTTGTACCCACCCTTATCTGGCTCTATCTCTCATCTCTCAGTATCAACGGCAAAAAGGTAGGTCATTATTGATTAACATTCAGTTACAGAGTTTACTGACAAATCTATTTCAGCAATGACATTTTATCAAGAGCAGAAAGAGTCTTATGGTTCCTTAATAGTACACGTAGCTTGTGCAGCAGAGTTTTGGTTTTCCTGAGAGTTTCTGTCGTTATATTTTGTGTCTATTTTGTAGTCTACTGCTGTACCGATTATAATGTAAGGAAAGTTCACTATGTCGGGAAAACTCAGCATGCATCGCCTGGTCCAATAGTGGTTAAGTGGCCAAGTGGTTAAGGTGTCTGACATTCTGCTACCACTAGCCCTCCACCACTGGGTCGCGGGTTCGAGGCCTACATGGGGCAGCAGCCAGGTACTTGCTGTAGGTCGGTGGTTTTTCTCTGGGAACTCCGGCTTCCCTCCACCACCAAAACCTGGCATGTCCTTAAATGACCATAGCTGTTAATAGGACAAAACACAAACAAACCAAACCTGGTACGTCCTTAAATGACCGTAGCTGTTAATAGGACGTAAAACAAAAACAAACCAAACCTGGCACGTCCTTAATTGACCATAGCTGTTAATAGGACGTAAAACTAAAACAAACCAAACCTGGCACGTCCTTAATTGACCATAGCTGTTAATAGGACGTAAAACTAAAACAAACCAAACCTGGCACGTCCTTAAATGACCATAGCTGTTAATAGGACGTAAAACTCAAATAAACCAAACTGATAGATGGATTGAATTACAATCAAAAGCAAGACAAGGAAATTATGCTAGACACACATATCTGGTGTTATCTCTAAATTACTATGGAATGTTTGTTATGCATGGATTGTCCTGTATATCTTGAAAATTGCCATTTTTCTAGAGCTGGGAAAAATTGACAGATACATGTGCGAGTCCATTAAGATAATTTTAGCTTTGAGAATTTATTCACCAGGCCCCATTATTCTGATCAGTATTAATTGGTTGAAGATTTGATGGTGTAATTATATCTGTCTCGGGAAAAGCATAGAAACTCATGAAAAAATCCAACCTTGTATGGTTTAACTGTAACGATCCTATCTCCAATTTCTTGAAGTAACTGAATATTGTCAGTGTTGGATGTTTTTTTTCTAATTGTGAATTTCTCTCGGGAAATTTGTTAAAAAGGACCTGGATTTATAATGAGCCTATTTGGACTAAACAGGTACAGAATTTGTGTATCTTTTGAAATTACCGGATTCTTACTAGTCCATGAACTGAGACAGGCAGTGGAAAATCACAGCATCTGTTGGAGTTACCTCCCTTCCAGTGATTTTTAACAGTAGCAGTAATGCATTAAATATAAGAGTTTCTTCCCCTTGCCTGTTATTTGTTCCTACTACCAGAAACTTAGCTATATTCTAAAACAATCATATCAGCAGAAAGTCAAGACTCTATCATAGTCATAATAGAAACAAAAAAGATGCAAGCAATATTAATTACATGCAATTTAACGTTGTTTTTTTAAAGAAAAACATCAAAGCTGGATCCAAAACTGTCAAAAAACAAGCATATATCTATCTCTTGTAAGACCTTCCTTAGAGTATGCCTGTCCTACCTGGGACCCACACACCAAATCAGACATAAACAAAATTGAAATGGTTCAATGTAGAGCAACCCGTTATGTCTCCAACATGTTTAGAAACACATCCATCGTTGGGGACATGCTAAACACCCTAGAACGGCACTCTTTAGCTGATAGAAGAAAAGATCAAAGGCTTACCACTCTCTACAAAAAATGACTTGATAACTATAAGGAAAATTCCACTCGTTCCACCAAATCGCATCTCCCGCCATTCCCATGAAAATTCTTGCAAAACACAATGTAGAAAATTTCTTTTTTCCCAAGAACTATTTCTGACTGGAACAACTTACCGCGACATATCACCTCTATTGATTCTCTTGATTCCTTCAAATTAGCACTTTCTCACATTTATTAGACCTCTTGTTATACAGTTTGTATACAGTTTTTAACCTGCGTAGCTCTCTCTCTCTTGCCAACTATCTTCAACTTGTTGAAGTTTGGCAGTATCAGCTAGACAAAGACAAACAACAGTTGGGCAGTATCAGCTAGACAAAGACAAAAAACAGTTGGGCAGTATCAGCTAGACAAAGACAAACAACAGTTGGGCAGTATCAGCTAGACAAAGACAAACAACAGTTGGGCAGTATCACCTAGGCAAAGACAAACAACAGTTGGGCAGTATCAGCTAGTCAAAGACAAACAACAGTTGGACAGTATCAGCTAGACAAAGACAAACAACAGTTGGGCAGTATCAGATAGACAAAGACAAACAACAGGTGGGCAGTATCACCTAGATAAAGACAAACAACAGATGGGCAGTATCACCTAGGCAAAGACAAACATCAGTTGGGCAGTATCAGCGAGATAAAGACAAACAACAGATGGGCAGAATCACCTAGGCAAAGACAAACAACAGATGGGCAGAATCACCTAGGCAAAGACAGACAACAGTTGGGCAGTACCACCTAGACAAAGACAAGCAACAGTTGGGCAGTATCGCCTAGACAAAGACAAAAAACAGTTGGGCAGTATCATCTAGACAAAGACAAACAACAGTTGGGCAGTATCACCTAGACAAAGACAAAAACAGGCGTCTGTTAGGATCATACAAAAGAAACAGAAATTTTTAGTCAAGCATATTTCACAGAAGAGTAAGGTTAGTGTTATATATATTACCAGGGAGTTAGGTTTGTGTCATATATATTACCAGGGAGTTAGGTTTGTGTCATATATATTACTGGGGAGTAAGGTTTGTGTTATATATATTACCAGGGAGTTAGGTTTGTGTCATATATATTACCAGGGAGTTAGGTTTGTGTTATATATATTACAAGGGAGTTAGGTTTGTGTTATATATATTACCAGGGAGTTAGGTTTGTGTCATATATATTACGGGGGAGTTAGGTTTGTGTCATATATATTACCGGGGAGTTAGGTTTGTGTCATATATATTACTGGGGAGTTAGGTTTGTGTTATATATATCACCGGGGAGTTAGGTTTTACAATATATCATTTTGAGTTCAAGGTGTTTGATCCAAAATCAATAGCTGAATTCTTATTGTCTATTTAATACAGTTGATCAATTTTCTTTTGTTTTCCATATGGAAAATTTGACGTTAAAGAATTTTCTGAAGTTAAGTAATGTTTTTGAAACTGAGGTCTTCTGTTACTGATCAGCTGTTACGGAGGTGTTTAGTCCCCACTGTGAATTGTGGGTAATTAGCACCCTGCTACAGGTGAGATGTACTGGGTCTGTGAACTGTTTGCTGGCAGTGCTAATGAAATGAGGTGAGAAGGCATCTGGAGTTCAAACTCTCAGCTGTATTCATTACCTTAATGTAAATAAAAATGATGAAGTTTTTCCCTTTTTAGCTTTTACAACAAAGAAGAATGTTTTCTTATGATTCACTTGTAACGTATATTTGATGTTCCAAGACTGACATTATGTTGGGCCAGTTTCAATATTGAGATTCATTGTTTTAGAATCCCTTTAAATGTTGGAAACTTGCAGGGCGAAGGTGAAACTAACAGGGCTTTGTGTGGCTATAGACAGCTGTTTTACTGTTTAAGTCCTGCTAACATTACTGTGGCTACAGGAGAGGTGAGAAAACAGTATGAATGGCATACATGGTTATGAGACAACAGGTGGTTGTCAGTAGTAACAGGCAGTGATGCTGTTGGGTAGATTTTAAACTACAGCCCATTCTTATGGAATTGTAGCTGTATTTTCTAAAAATCATTTCTTTTACCCCACAATAGTATGGTAAATGGGGATATCCTACATTTCATTAGGTACTGTCTCACAGAAGACTAGCACAATCCTTACCCCAATGGGATGTAGCTTTACAGGGATATCCTACATATCATTAGCTACTGTCTCACAGTGGACTAGCACAATCCTTACCCCTATGTGATGTAGCTTTATAGGGATATCCTACATTTCATTAGCTACTGTCTCACAGAGGACTAACACAATCCTTACCCCAATGGGATGTAGCTTTACAGGGATATCCTACATTTCATAAGGTACTGTCTCACAGAGGACTAGAACAATCCTTACCCCAATGTGATGTATAGCTTTACAGGGATATCCTACATATCATTAGCTACTGTCTCACAGAGGACTAGCAAAATCCTTACCCCAATGTGATGTAGCTTTACAGGGATATCCTACATTTCATAAGGTACTGTCTCACAGAGGACTAACACAATCCTTACCCCAATGTGATGTGACTTTAGGGGGATATCCTACATTTCATTAGTTACTGTCTCACAGAGGACTAGCACAATCCTTACCCCAATGTGATGTAGCTTTACTGGGATATCCTGCATTTCATTAGCTACTGTTTCACAGAGGACTAACACAATCCTGACCCCAATGTGATGTAACTTTACGGGGATATCCTACATTTCATTAGCTACTGTCTCACAGAGGACTAACACAATCCTTACCCCAATGTGATGTAGCTTTACTGGGATATCCTACATTTCATTAGCTACTGTCTCACATCGGACTAGCACAATCCTTACCCCAATGTGATGTAGCTTTACGGGGATATCCTACATTTCATTAGGTACTGTCTCACAGAGGACTAGCACAATCCTTACCCCAATGTGATGTAGCTTTACGGGGATATCCTACATTTCATTAGGTACTGTCTCACAGAGGACTAGCACAATCCTTACCCCAATGTGATGTAGCTTTACAGGGATATCCTACATTTCATTAGGTACTGTCTCACAGAGGACTAGCACAATCCTTACCCCAATGTGATGTAGCTTTACAGGGATATCCTACATTTCATTAGGTACTGTCTCACAGAGGACTAGCACAATCCTTACCCCAATGTGATGTAGCTTTACAGGGATATCCTACATTTCATTAGGTACTGTCTCACAGAGGACTAGCACAATCCTTACCCCAATGTGATGTAGCTTTACAGGGATATCCTACATTTCATT